CGACAACAGCAACAACAACAACAACGACGGCAACAACACCAACAACAACAACAACCACAACAACAACAGCAACAACACCCACATCATCAACGGCAGTAATGAAAAAAACATCAAAATCACCATCACCATCAGCAGCAGCATCATCATCGTAAGCGTCGCCATGATCATCAGCAGCTTCATCGTCATCGACATCAGCATCATCATCTTCATCATCATCATCAGCATAATCATGCCCATCAAGACCATCATCATAATCATCGTCCGCATCAGCATCAACTGCATCATCAGCATCAGCAGCAGCGGCAACAGCATCAGCATCAGCATCAGCATCCTCATCATCGTCATCATCAGCAGCAGCCTCATCATCAGTATCACCATCATCATCAACAATAACAACAACAACCATTATGGCACGACTCGCTCCTACCTACTCCAACCAGAAAGTAAATCGCAAACCCTCCATGCCCACCCTCTTCGTCTTCTATCTTACCCTCTTGGGGTTATAGCTTTCCTACCTGCCACGTGTTCTCAGCGCAGCCACTAAAAAAGGGGAGAGAGAGAGAGAGAGAGGATGGATGGAAGGGGGGGATAAGGATGGAGCACGAGAGAACTTGCAGTAAAGAGGCCAGGAGCAGAAAACACGTGGAAAAACCTGATGGGCAGATCGGGCGGGCAAACCCTGAACAGGGGAAGAGAGGACTCATGGAAGGGGGGGAAGGATGGAGCACTGGATTAGCAGGAGGGGGGCGAGGAGCAGAAGACACGTGGCAGAACCAGACGGGCCCATCGGGCGGGCAGACCCTAACGGGCGGGTCGGGAAGGCGAACCCAGGCGGCCAGGACGAGCAGAAGTATTCCTGAAGCGAGTCCTGCATGAATCGCGAGGAAAGCTCGAGCGATAGCGCGATTCCCAGATAAATCGCGAGGAAGGCCAAAGCGAGAGCGTGATTCCTGAGTGTCGAGTGCGCGGAGTCTGAAAAAATGCGAGGATGTCCCCCGCGAGAACGCGATCCCTGCATTAATTGTGAGGAAGTCCTGCGCGCGAGCGCGACTTTCAAACAAATTGTTAGGAAGTATCAGGCGGGAGCCGTTCTTGTTCTAAACCAGCGGCGAGAGGCCCTGTTTGGTGACACCAAATCTCCCTGATCAACAGAAGAACGGGTGCGAGCCCCGGGAGGGGCACCTCAATTGAAAGAATACATGGTCACCGAAGGGGGGGCATCAATAATGATCACTCTTCAGGAAAAATTGAACAACCATAACAACAACAACCATGTTAAGAGGGTTTGCTTGTCTGCTCTTATCTGTTCGGGCGCCATTTCACACGTATTTCCCAAACCCTCGATACCCGCCCTTTTCGTCTTCGATCGGGGGTATATCTTCCATTTGCAGGAAGAGGGTCAGGAGCAGGAGTGCAGGTCGGGCGGGCGGACCCTGCTGGGCAGGTCGGGCTCAAACGACCGGGTCGAGCGGGCGGGTCGCTGAAGCGTCAATCCAACATGGATCAAAAAATGTAGGCGATAGTGCGATTCCCAAGTGAATCGCCAGGAATTCCAGAGCGAGAGCGTGATTCCTGAGCTGCGAGGAAATGCCACGCGAGAGCGCGATTCCTGCATAAACTTTGGAGAAATATCAAGCGGGAACCGTTGTTGTTGAAAGTCGGGGGCCAAGGTGCACCTGGGGGGATAACAATAATTATTTCAAGCTGAGAACGTAACAACAACAACAACAACAACAACAACAACAACAACAGCAGCAGCAGCAACAACAACAACAACAACAACAACAACAACAACAATCACAGCAGCAGCAGCAGCAGCAGCAGCATTAGCAACAAGAACAACAACAATCTTCCATAGTCGTCCGGGCTCCGAGCCGCTTTGGCGCACGGGCGCTGAAGTCAGAGCAGCTGGCCCCTCGGGAAGCACAGGGATAAGTGCGCGAACGGTCCTTGCCAAATAATCTGCACAATCGCCACCGGTAGCATCGGAGACCGCTTTCAGACCGGCCACATCCAGGCAACGGCGGAGTGTGGTTCACAATCCTCCTCGGCGATGCACGACCAGTGGCCATCGACGTCACAAACTTACCCATTGGTTTTTCCAAGATGTGGACATTCGACTCTTATTGCGAGCTCCTTCGGCTGCAGGTTTAGCTTTCCTCGTGTCTTGGATCCGGCAGCAGGTTGTGTCTGGCAATCGACGTTGGGACAGAAAACAGGCAAACCGCTTGAGACATCCCCACAAAACGGCCGCGAACTGGACCGTGCAATGCCCCTCGGCGGCTCCCCCTAGGGACGTGAAAATGAGCGCCTCGCTCGAGACATCCTCCAAGTCTGCTCCGAAAGCGAAGGATGTTGGGACAGAAAACAGGCAAACCGCTTGAGGCATCCCCACAAAAGGGCCGCGAACGGGGCGTGCGTGAGTCTCAGCATGAGTAAGTCTGAGTAGGAGTAGGTCTGAATATGAGTAGGTCTGAGCACGAGTAAATTTGTGTGTGAGTAAGTCTGGGTATGAGTAAGTCTGAGTGTGAGTCAGTCTGTGTATGAGTAAGTCTGGGTATGAAGAGGAGAGGGGAGGAGAAGGAGAAGGAGGAGAAGTCGGCGACGTCCAAGAAATAACAAGAACCCAATCTTAGGATATGGGGAACGAGAACCCCATCTTAGGATGTGGGGAAAATACCATGCGCACCACAAGTAGGATTAACAATAATTATTCTTCAGTCGTGATAGTTCAACAACAACAACAACAACCACAACAACAACAACAACAACAGCAACAGCAACAGCAACAGCAACAGCAACAGCAACAGCAACAGCAACAGCAATAATAATATTTGTTTGGCTATTCGCTCTTAGATGTCGAGTGTCCAGTAACGCGAATTTCCCAAACCCTCGATACCCGCCCTCTTCGTCTTCGATCGAACCCCTTTTGGGGGGTATACCTTTCTTCCCTGCAGGCCGGGCCCCGGCAAGCGGCGGGGCGGCCGCGGACCGTCGGCCTGGCCAGCGGCAGCGCTGATCGGCGGGGCGGCCGCGGACCGTCGACCCGACCCCAAGAGGGACGGACAGGGGACCGACCACGACGACGACGACGACGACGACGACGACGACGACGACGACGACGTCGAAGACGACGGCGACGACGACGACGACGGCGACGACGAGCGAAAGCGAGAGCGAGAGAGAACGACAGCAGGGCCACGAAGGGCACGAAGTAGGCCACGAAGGGCGACAGCGGGGACACGAAGGGAATGCGTATGGGGCCACGAAGAGCGCGAACGAGCGGGGGCCACGAAGTGCAGATAATGCGGGGCCACAGAAGGCAACTATGGGGCCACTGAGGACAGTAGGACAGGAGGGGGACACAAATGGCGACAGCGGGGCCACGAAGGGCATGCACATGGGGCCACAACGGGCGCGACTCCTGGGTGCCTGGGTGTCGGGAGCGCGGCGCTTAGGCAAATTGCAAGAAATTCCAACGCAAGGCCATTCTTCAGTAAGTTGCAAGCAAGTCTCCAGCGAGAGCGCGACTCCAGAGCGCCGGGAGAGCGATTCCTGAATAAATTGTAAGGAAGTCCCAAGCGAGAGCGCGATTCCTGAATAAAATGCGAGGAAATCTCGGGCGGGAGCGGGGGTCCTGGCTAAAGTGTAAGGAAGTCTCAAGCGGGAGCCGTTGTTGTTGTAACCCGGGGGCCAGGGGCCCAGTTTGAGCATCAAGACTTTCCCTGTCAAAAAACAGGGTGCGAGCGTCGAGGGACACACTTTGATTGAGAAAAACAATATGCACCGGTGGGGGGGGATCAACAATAGTTATTCTTCAGAAATGAGAATTCAACAACAACAACAACAACAACAACAACAACAACAATCACTTTACCCGAACGCTCAGTGTTCTCACCAGTGCCAGGGTTTTCATGCGACGCCAGCCAATACCCCCACTTTGTGGGGGGGCAGTGCAAGCTCTACCAAATATCCACACGACTCTTCGCCACCACCCACACCCAGCTTCCCGCCCTATGACGTTCGGACACTTCACTTCGTGGCCTGCGGACGACCGTGGCTACTACACTGGCGTGGAGTACACACCCACAGAAGTTGTTAAGCCTACGTTCGTACACCCACAAAGTTGTTAAGCCTTGTTAACCCACAGAAGTTGTTTAAGCCTTCCACAGAACATCTGTTGCATATGATGCATATGGTACATGATACACATGATACACATGATGTGTAGTGTTTTTCGAGGACCTACGGTGCGATTCGTGTGATTTTATGATGCGCGGTGCTAAAATTCTTAAGAAGCCCAATGGTTTTTGGAGATTTCGGCGTGCGCGCGCGAAGAAAAAACGAATGTGTCCCGCATGGTATTATTTGACAGGGATGATGGCCCTGGCAGGTGCGCAACCGTTGTCGCAGAAGTTCGAAAAAGTTGCTCGCAAAAGCCCGTTTGACAGAAATGTTTAAAAAGTGTTGGGTTTCCTACGAATCCGCAAGAGCGCGCGGGATGAGATTTTGACAATTTTTTGTTGAAAAACCATTGGTTTTTTGATGTTTTTATGTTAAAATCGCTGCGAACACTAAGGTTTTGGAAGGATTTCGTCTTGCGCGCGCGAATGTCCACTTTACCTTATTTTTTGCAAGGGATTCTTGAAATTTGATTATATTAGAACAAGAAATGTCATTTTCTATTGTTTTTTGCAAGGGAAAGCGGATTACAACAAAACAACCGGATCCTGTACACACCCTCTTTTCTGAGGCTTCCTCACGAAAATGATGAAAATGTAGCTGCGGCCTAGGCGGCGCAGGGGGGGCGCGCACCAGGGGGCCCAACAATAATTATTCTTTAGAATAAATAATGTTCAACAACAACTGTGCGCTCTTACCTGCCCGCGCGCCCTTCGTTCACAACGTATCTGGGGCGCGCCGGGGCCCCAGGGGGAGGCGGTTCCTCGCAGGGCGTCGGCGAGGGAGGCCAGCGCCAGGGCCAGGAGCGCGCCGCCGAGTGTCCTCGCGCGCGCCGGGACCCCCCCCCCCACATCGGGGGCGGCCAAGGTGAGGGGCAACGATAGGGGGGACTGGCATAGGGGACGAGGAGGAAGAGGAGGAGGAGGAGGAAGAGGAGGAGGAGGAGAGCCAGTGCAAACCCAAGAGTCATCCACGATGTTGAAATAAACCCTCCCTCCAAGCTCCCTCTTCATAGGCCCCTACAACGAGTCAATTCCACTGATGGAACTGCCTCGTTGGAAGACAACCGCTTGAAGACCGCGAAGCATGTCCAAACATTGTTCTCGGGATTCCCACGGCACAAATCAACTTGAGTGTTGCTTTTTGACGATCCGGAATTGCGCCAGGACGCCATTCCTGGGACTTGAACACCGCGAACCTATGTAACTGTTGCACCCTCCTGATCCTGAGTCCGTTCACAATACAATTTCTGGTACGCTGACCATGGGAAACCGTGAAACGCGCGCCGCTAAGGCGAGAGCACCATTTTAGAAACGACTCGCCCTCAAGAGCGCGTTTCTTTATGTTCGGCGATGACGGGCGTCATGGGGGGAGAGGGGAGCGGGGGGGGGGTATGACGTAACGCCCACCCCCGCCGTGTGGTTCCGGCACCACAGCCGCGCCCGCGCGCACGACGCGACGAGCGACGAGCGACGACGACGACGACGACGACGCGAGCAGCAGGCAGGTGGCGATCTGTCCCACCGCGCCTGTGTACACCACAACGCTCGCGCGCACCACAGCGCGCGTGTACACCACAACGCCTGCGCACACCGCAACAGCCGTGTGCAACACAGCGCCTGTGTACACCACAATGCTTGCGTACACTACACCGCCGGTGTACTATGTACACCGCAGCAACCATGTGCAACACAGCGCCTGTGTACACCACAGTGCTCGCGTGCACCGCAGCGCCTGTGCACGCCAGACGCTGGTATACACCACAGTGCCTGCGTGCATACGGCATGTAGAAGGAGCATGTACATGAGGATCTGCTGCGGACAATTAAACGCCACGCCACGAAAGTGCTGGTAATCGAATGCGACGTTTTTCCCCCCTCCCTCCTCGTCCAACTCCACCTCATCCTTTTTTTCCTCCTCCTCCTCCCCGTCCTCCTCTTCCTCCTCCTCCTCCTCCTCCTCCTCCTCCTCCTCCTCCGCCTGCTTACCCCCTGTCGTGCAGGTTGGCGCTACAGCGCACGTGCGCATCTTTCAGCGTGCACCGCCGAATGGTCTATTGAATCGGTCCACTTGGTTTTCGGACGGCCACTTTAGCTGGAGCCTCCTGGACGCAAATTGGGGGAGTTGGGGTGATGAGGGGGGGACCCGGGAGGACTCGTAGATTCCAGCGGCGCTCCTGTGTGCATAAGGATTCCTGTCTATTGTTTTCTCTGGAATCCACAAGCGCCCCATTTTGTCACAAGGACTCCCTTTCAAATTCTATATGCGACAGTGGTCCTGTGTTGCACATGGTTGCTGTGGTACACAAAGGCGCCGTGGTGTACACAGGCACTGCAATGCACGCAGGCATTGTGGTGTACACTGGTGCTGTGTTGCACACGGCTGATGTGGTGTACGCAGGCGCTGCGATGTCCACAAAAGCTGTTGTGCCCGCAGGCACGGTGGCACAAACTGACGCTGTGTTGCACGCGGCTGCTGTGGTGTACATACGCGGTGCACGCAAGCACTGTGTACACAGGCGTTGCGGTGCAAATCGCAATTACATGCTGGTGCTACCGTCCTCCGTCATTCCAAGGCATTCCCAAACGCCGCCGGCGCGAAACATGACGTCATCGACACCCTCCACCCCCCCAGATGATTGCTGTCATCGGCCCAGACTTAAAAAAACAGGCTCCAGCCGCGTCCGCGCGCACGACGACGATAGCGACGAGCGACGAGCGACGACGACGACGACGACGACGACGACGACGTCGACGTCGACGACGACGACGACGACGACGACGACGACGACGACGACGACGACGACGACTGCGGACCAGACTCCTATGCGGATTCCTACGCGGACACCTACGCGGATCCCACTGCGCACGGCGGCAAGTGCCCGGAGCGCACTGGGGGGGAGCGTTAAGTCATAGGGGGGGGGAGCGGGGGCCGTGACGCCCGTCATGCCCCAAGCAATAAAGAAACGGGCTCCAATCCGTGAAACTGTTGCACATGTTTAAATCGAATGTGCACGGCGCTAAGGCGAGAGCAACATTTTGAAAAGGAACCGCCCTCAATCCGTGAATCTCTTGCTTTCAAGTCTTTAAAACGAATGTGCGCGGCGCTAAAGCGAGAGCCATATGTTGAAAACGAATCGCCCTCAATCCGTGAAACTCTTGCACAGTTTGAAAACCACTCGCCCTCAATCCGTGAAACTCTTGCAAAATTGTAAAACAAACGCACGCGGTGTTAAGGCGAGAGCTACTTTTTGAAAACGACCCGCCCTCCATCTATGAAACTTTTGCCGATGTTTTAGCCTCAGAGTCATAAATGCTGAGGAAGTTTCGGGCGAAAACCCGGCCCGCCCTAAAAACTGCTCTCGGGGTGCGACAGGGAAGAGTTATCTATTAGGGAAAGGAAGGGAGGAGGAGGAGTAGGAAGGAGGAGGAGGAGGAGGCGGAGAAAGACGAGGAGAGCCACCTCCCTTTCCCCCCTCTCCTCCTCCCATCCCACCCCTCTGGGCACCAACGACAGGGGGGGACTGGCACACAGGGGGGAAGATGCATCGACCTGGAATCGGCGATACATCACCGATAGATCGGCGATAGGCCTTCGATAGTGAATCCGCACCTTCCTGGGCAGGCAGGGGCCATCGGGCCCCCATCGGCGATCAATGGGCGATGGGGGGTCGATGCATCCCCCCTATGCCTATTCCCCCCTATCGCTGCCCCTGACAAGACGGGGGCGTCCAAGAGAGGAATTCGCAAATCCTGGTCGGAGCCCTGTGCGCGGACCGAGGGAGGGGGGCCACGGAACGTCTTGAGATGAGAAGAGGGGCCATGAAGCCCGAGGGGAGACCATGGCCCTGGCCATGATCGATATCCGTCACCCCCCCTAGTCATCACCCCACTCTTTGTGGACGCCCCCGACCCCGAGACGACGCCAGGACAAGGACAAGATCGGACAGGGATCGATCGGGGGTTCTGGACGACGCACTGGGCGGTTCTGGAGGACGCATCGGGCGTTTGTGGAGGATAATCTCTGAGTTCCGGCGGTTCTGGAGGGTGCACCGGGCGCCGCGGCCGTTCCAGAGCGTTCCGGAACGCTCTGCGAGCGTTCCGTAACGATCTGAAGCGATTTATTCCCGATCAGAGGCCTGACTGACCCCCTACCTTTAGGTCGGGCATGTCCTCCCACAGGCGGATCTGGGAAGAAAAAACATAAGTTTCATTAATGTATACATCTAGAACAACGACAACGACAACGACAACGACAACGACAACGACGACGACAACAACAACAACAAAAACAACAACAACAACAACAACAACAACAACAACAACAACAACAACAACAACAACAACAATTACTAGCACGTGGGGACACTCCGTTCTCACCAGTGCCAGGGTTTTCATAGGAGGCGGGCAGTACCCCCACTTTGTGGGGGGGCCGGTTCAAGCTCTACCAAATTTCCAAACGACTCTTCGCCACCACCCACACCCAGCTTCCCGCCCTATGACGTTCGGACACTTCACTTCGTGGCATGCGGACGACCGTGGCTACTATTCAGGGCCCCGCGGCCGACGACGACGGCGTGCGCGCGCGAAGAAAAAACGAATGTGTCCCGCATGGTATTATTTGACAGGGATGATGGCCCTGGCAGGTGCGCAACCGTTGTTGCAGAAGTTCGAAAAAGTTGCTCGCAAAAGCCCGTTTGACAGAAATGATTAAAAAGTGTTGGGTTTCCTACGAATCCGCAAGAGCGCGCGGGATGAAATTTTGACATTTTTGTTTGAAAAACCATTGGTTTTTTGATGTTGTTATGTTAAAATCGCTACGAAAACTAAGGTTTTGGAAGGATTTCGTCTTGCGCGCGCGAATGTCCACTTCACCTTATTGTTTGCAAGGGATTCTTGAAGTTTGGATATGTTAGAACAAGAAATGTCCACTTAAGCTTATTTGTTGCAAGGGAAAACCGATCGTAACAACACAACCGGATCCGGACTCCCCCGTTTTGCCTGAGACTTCCTCACGAAAATGATGAAAATGAGGCTGCGGCCTAGGCGCGGCGGGGGGGTCGTGCACCAGGGGTCCCAACAATAACTATTCTTTAGAAGTAATAATGTTCAACAACAACAACAACAACAACAACAACAACAACAACAACAACAACAACAACAACAACAATGTTCAGACTGTTCGCCAATATATGCTCGAGTGTCCAATAACGCGTATTTCACAAACCCTCGATACCCGCCCTCTTCGTCTTCGATCGAACCCCTTTTGGCGGGTATACCTTTCTGCCCTGCAGGCCGGGCCCCGGCAAGCGGCGGGGCGGCCGCGGACCGTCGGCCTGGCCAGCGGCAGCGCTGATCGGCGGGGCGGCCGCGGACCGTCGACCCGACCCAAGAGGGACGGACAGGGGACCGACGACGACGACGACGACGACGACGACGACGACGACGACGACGTCGAAGACGACGGCGACGACGACGACGACGGCGACGACGAGCGAAAGCGACAGCGAGAAAGAACGACAGCAGGGCCACGAAGGGCACGAAGTAGGCCACGAAGGGCGACAGCGGAGACACGAAGGGAATGCGTATGGGGCCACGAAGAGCGCGAACGAGCGGGGGCCACGAAGTGCAGATAATGCGGGGCCACAGAAGGCAACTATGGGTTCACTGAGGGTAGCAACTGGGCCACGTAGGACAGTGAGGGGGCCACAAACGGCGACAGCGGGGCCACGAAGGGCATGCACATGGGGCCGCAACGGGCGCGACTCCTGGGTGCCTGGGTGTCGGGTGCGCGGCACTTAGGCAAATCGCAAGAAACTCCAAC